CTCAAATCTCAGTGCTTTATGTATGTGTGTATATACATATATATGTGTGTCTGTTTATATATAAATTATATATAAAACATAAACATATTATATAAATATATATTTCCTGTGGTGGGGGGAGTGTAGCCAGCTTCACTTCACCACCTTTGAAACCAATATTTGTGGTAATTTGTTACAGTAGCAATGGGAAACTAATATAGGAACATTATAAACAATGTTGCAGTGAACATTCTTGACTTTTCTTTTGGTGATTACATGTATTCATTTCCGCTGAGTATATACCTAGGAATGAAATTTCTGGGTCATATGATATCATAGGTTCAGCTTTGGTAGATACTGCCCATTTTCCAAAATGGCTAAATTTAGTTTAAACTGCTAAAAACAATGTATCAGAGTAGCAATTGTTTCATAACCTTACAACACCTAGTATTGTCTCTTTTTTAAGCCACTCTAGTGGGTACACAGTAGTGTTTCATTGTGGTTTTATTCTGTATTCCCATTGCGACTAATGAAGTTGAGCACTTTCCACATGTTCATTGGCCATTTATATAAGTTCTTTTATCTAGTAATCTCATAAGTGTCTTTCCCATTTTTTAATTGAGTAATATGTTCTCTTATTGATTTCTGTGAGTTTTATATATTCTGGATATGAGTCCACTGCCAGAAAAATTAGGACCTTTTGATAGTAAAAAGGGACACATTCTTGTGACTCTGCCAAGAATCCTTCCATGTAAAAATTTTTAAGAGCTACAATGCTGATATTGTGATTGCTATCATAGGCATTCAATGTAATATGGTTAAAAGTCTAGATTTAAAGTTACTTCACAGCAAGGGCTAGAAATATCTTCTATCTCCTTTGTATCTTCGGCAGATCCTAAGCATTAAGTACACATTTGGTGTACACTTCGTAAACATTTAAATCAAAGAATGTTCTAAGGTAAACAATGTATTTCTCTTCCCGAGGGCTTTCCTTTAACCCACCAGTTACAATTACTAAAGCTCATGAAAATGTCTACCAGCCAAGTACCACTTTTTATGTATTAAAGTAACACTGAAACAATGGAGGGAGTCCCAAGAACCAGGGAAGACCAAGAAGCATATCTATGAAGGGTAACCAAAGACAGCTTAGAAAGACAGAATGGAATTGCAGTGAATCCAAACATTATAGACAGCGAATGACATTCTTGGTATAGTTCCATATCAGAGGAATAAAGTGAAGAAATAAACAGAGAAATTAATCTCTAAAAATAAGAGCAAGTCAACCATAATAAACTAAAGCAAGGAGTTCAGGACAAGGCTATGAACAATATCAGTCTGTGAGATGCTTGCTTTTATATACCAAAGCTTAGTGGAAACTACACAAAGACTGGTGTTGGAGAGAACTGTCTGAAGATTCATTGTTATAAAAAAGAATGACAAAAGCACTCCATACCAGAATTATTATGGTTTGTCCAAATATCTTTTTATGTATTAAAGTGGGGGAACCTAGGGCAAATATGATATCCAGTTTTTATTTGAATAGCATCCAGTAAGTGTTATCTCTTGGGTCGTTCTAAGCAGATTACAATAGCGTTCTAAGCAGATTTTGCAAGTTCAACTTGCAAAAGAATGAAGCATACATACACTGGCCAGATGAAACACTTTTAGACAGGAAAGAATATATATATATTGCTTGCTGAAGTCAATGGTTAATTGGGAACATTTAAGATGCAAAAACCTGAAACAAATAAATACAATACTGACATGCCAGTGAAAATAATACAATTATCTAAAACCCTTTGTTTTTGCCCATACCTAGGAATACATCAAACCAAGTAGGTAAAAGATCTCTATAAGGAGAACTAAAAAACACTGATGAAAGAAATCACAGAGGATACAAACAAATGGAAAAACATTCCATACTCATGGATTGGAAGAGTCTATATCATTAAAATGTCCAGATTGCCCAAAGCAATCTACAGATCAAATGCAATTCCTATCAAATTACTAACATCATTTTTCACAGAATTAAAAAAAAAATCTAAAATTCATATGGATCCAAAAAAGAGCCTAAATAGCCAAAGAATTATAAGTGAAAAGAACAAAGCTGGAGGTATCACATTACCCAACTTCAAACTGTACTACAGGACTATAATAACCAAACGATATGGTACTGGTACAAAAATAGACACAGGGACCAATATAACAGAATAGAGAACCCAGAAACAAAGCTGCACACCTGCAACCAAATGATCTTAGACAGTCAACAAAAATAAACAATGGAGAAAGGATACCCTATTAAATAAATGGTAATGGACAAACTGGCTAGCAATATGCAGAATAATGAAACTGGACCCCTAACTGTACCTTATTCAACAGTTAACTCAAGATGGATTAAAGACAAGGCTGGCTGTGGTAGCTTGCACCTATAACCCCAGCACTTTTGGAGGCTGACACAGGTGGATCACTTGAAGTCAGGAGTTCAAGACCAGCCTGGCCAACATAGTGAAACCTCGTCTCTACTGAAAAAAATATATATATATACATATATATATATATATATATGTATAAATTAGCTAAGCGTGGTGGTGTGCACCTGTAGTCCCAGCTACTTGGGAGGCTGAGGCATGAGAATCACTTGAACCTGAGAGGCAGAGGACCTGAGCCAGGATCACACCACCGCATCCAGCCTGGGCAACAGAGTGAGACTCTGTCTGGGGGAAAAAAAAATGGATTGAAGACTTAAATTTAAGGGTAAGGCCTCAAACCATAAAAATCCTAGAAGAAAACCTAGGAAATACTCATTTGAACATTGGCCTAGGGGAAGAATTTATGACTACAACCTCAAAAGCAAATGAAGCATAAACAAAAATTGAAAACTGAGACCTAATTGAATTCAAGAGCTTCTGTACAGCAAAAGAAGCTATCGACAGAGTAAACAGACAAACTACAGTATGGAAGAAAATATTTGCAAACTATGTATCCAAGTACTAATATCCAAAATCTATAAGGAACTTAAATAAGTTGACAAATAAAAAATAAATGACCCCATTAAAAAGTTGGCAAAGAGCATAAACAGATACTTCTCAAAAGAAGACATACAAGTGGCCAACAAACATATGAAAAAAATGTTCAACATCACTAATCATCGGAGAAATGCAAATAAAACTACAATGAGATACCATCTCACACCAGTCACAATGGCCATTAAAAAGTGGGAAAAAAAAAAAAAACGATATTGGCAATGCTGCAGAGAAAAGGAAATACACACTGTTAGTGTGAATGTCAATTAGTTCAGCCCCTGTGAAAAGCAGTTTGGAGATTTCTCAAAGAGCTAAAAATAGAACTATTCAACCCAGCAACCTCATTACTGGGTGTCTACTGAAAGGAAAGAAGTCATTCTACCAAAAAGACACCTGCACTTGTATGTTTATAGCAGCACTATACACAACAGCAAAGTCATGGAATCAACCCAGGTGCCCATCAACAGTGGACTGAATAAAGGAAATGTGAGATAGATAGATAGATAGATAGATAGATAGATAGATAGATAGACAGACAGACAGATAGATAAACATGGAATACTACAGAGCCATAAAAAAGGATGAAATCATGTCCTCGGTGGCAACACAGATGCAGCTGAAAGCCATTAGCCTAACTGAATTAACACAGAAACAGAAAATTAAATACCACATGTTCTCCTTTATAAGTGGGAACTAAACAATTGGTACATACAGACGTAAAGATGGAAACAATAGACACTGGGACTCCAAAGCCAGGAAGGGAAGAAAGGGGTAATGAATGAATAACGACCTATTGCGTACTATGTTCAATATTTGAGTGATGGGTTCAAAAGCCCAAACCTCAGCATTACACAATATATCCATGTAACAAACCTCCACATGTATACCCTGAATCTAAAATCAAAAAGAAAAATAAAGGCAAAAGACAAACTCTATCTTAATCACTAAAATTATGCTTTAACAAGCGTGATCTTATCTGGATTAAATTTCAATATATTTTTTAAAGTAGTCTAAATAATATTTTGAAAAGTATATTTTGTCATTAAGGTTATTATAAATCAAATTTCCTTTAAAATATAGATAGCTTTAAACCATTTTGAAACTTCCCGAAGTGATGTGTTTTCAAAAGTTAATTAGTTTAAGATTTGCATTATTTAATGACTCCAACAATGTACTACCAGAAAATGATCCCACCTAAAAGAAACACAACTCATTTAATGAGTCTGTAATCAAAACTGACAATACTGTTAGCCTCTGACAGATGCCACTGAGCTTTCAATGATTAATACAGAACTCTCTGTTGTTAAGCATCATGGTCAACAAAATGTTTATTTTGTGGACACGTGGAGTTTTTTAAAATATACCCAAGATTACTTTCTTTAGGGAAACACTCTCCTCCATGCCATATGGTTCTAGTAAGACTAGCTATGGGCCTAGGCACATAACCCATGGTACCATCATTTCCTTGCACAGAGTGACTGGTCTGAGAAGGGCATGTGACAGACAAAGCAGAGATAATAAGAGTTCTTCCCTAAGCAGACAGTATAGCATAGTGGCAAGCACAGAGACTGCCTGGATTTTAATTCTTGGCTCTATCACTAACTAGTTAAATAATCAAACAAGTAACTTAATTAGTTTATATCTTAATTTCCTCATCTTTGAAATGTAGCTACTAACAATACCTTCCTCAAAGAGCTATTATGAAGATAAAATACAGTATAACATACATAAAGTGTTGGCATGGTAATTAGCATATAAAAAGCATTAAATACATTTTAATATTAGTTATCAATACCATTATGTCTGGGCTTCTGGATTGGGTGGGGACTTGGAGAACTTTTCTGTCTAGCTAAAGGAATGAAAACACACCAATCAGTGCTCTGTGTCTAGCTAAAGATTTGTAAACACACCAATCAGCACTCTGTAAAAACACACCAGTGTTCTGTGTCTAGCTAAAGGTTTGTAAACGCACCAATCAGCACTCTGTAAAAACGCACCATGCTCGCTACAGCAGCACATATACTAAAATTGGAACGATACAGAGAAGATTAGCATGGCTCCTGCACAAGGATGACATGCAAATTCGTGAAGCGTTCCATATTTAAAAAAAAAAAAAAAAAATGCACCAATCAGTGCTCTGTGTTTCGCTAAAACTTTGAAAACGCACGAATCAGCACTCTGTAAAAATGCACCAATCAGTGCTCTGTGTATAGTGTCTAGCTAAAGGTTTGTAAATACACCAGTCAGCATTTTGAAAAAACGGACTAATCAGCACTCTGTAAAATGTACCAATCAGTGCTCTGTAAAATGGACCAATCAGTAGGTCGTGGGTGGGGCCAAATAAGGGAATAAAAACTGGCCACCCGAGCCAGCAGTGGCAACCTGCTCCGGTCCCCTTGCATGCTGCGGAAGCTTTGTACTTTCGCTCTTGGCAATAAATCTTGTTGCTGCTCACTCTTTGGATTCACACCACCTTTTACAAGCGGTAACACTCGCCAAGAAGGTCTGCAGTTTCACTCCTGAAGTCAAGCAAGACCACGAACCCACCAGAAGGAAGAAACTCTGGACACATCTGAGCATCGAAAGGCACAAACTCCGGACACAGCATCTTTAAGAACCGTAACACTCACCGCGAGGGTCCACGGCTTCATTCTTGAAATCAGCAAGACCAAGAACCCACTGGAAGGAACCAATTCTGGACACACTATTACTATTATTGTTGCTGTTGCTTTTGTTATTTGCATAATAAATATGTGATGGAACTATTAAATCTGGACAATGCAGCCTAAATATGGAAGCAGTGTGTCTTTCCCAGTGGCAGAGCAGATAGAAGAAAATTTTTGAAGCAAACAAAAGGAAACAGAACAGAGGGGCGGAGCAAGATGGCCGAATAGGAACAGCTCCAGTCTCCAGCTCCCAGCACGAGCAACACAGAAGACAGGTGATTTCTGCATTATCAACTGAGGTACTGGGTTCATCTCACTGGGGAGTGCCGGATAATCGGTGCTGGTCAGCTGTTGCAGCCCGACCAGTGAGAGCTGAAGCAGGGCGAGGCATCGCCTCACCTGGGAAGCGCAAGGGGTAAGGGAATCCCTTTTCCTAGCCAGGGGAACAGAGACACACAACACCTGGAAAATCGGGCAACTCCCACCCCAACACTATGCTTTAAGCAAACAGGCACACCAGGAGATTATATCCCACACCTGGCCGGGAGGGTCCCATGCCCACTGAGCCTTCCTCATTGCTAGAACAGCAGTCTGCAATCTAACCGCAAGGCAGCAGCGAGGCTGGGGAAGGGGCGCCTCCATTGCTGAGGCTTAAGTAGGTAAACAAAGCCCTGGGAAGATCGAACTGGGTGGAGCTCACAGCAGCTCAAGGAGGCCTGCCTGTCTCTGTAGACTCCACCTCTGGGGACAGGGCACAGCTAAACAACAACAACAACAACAACAACAACAACAAAAGCAGCAGAAACCTCTGCAGACGCAAGCAACTCTGACAGCTTTGAAGAGAGCGGTGGATCTCCCAACACGGAGGTTGAGATCTAAGAATGGACAGACTGCCTGCTCAAGTGGGTCCGTGACCCCTGAGTAGCCTAACTGGGAGACATCCCCCACTAGGGGCAGACCAACACCCCACATCTCACAGGGTGGAGTACACCCCTGAGAGGAAGATTCCAAAGCAAGAATCAGACAGGTACACTCGCTGTTCAGAAATATTCTATCTTCTGCAGCCTCTGCTGCTGATACCCAGGCAAACAGGGTCTGGAGTGGACCTCAAGCAATCTCCTACAGCTACAACCTACAGCTGAGGATCCTGACTGTTAGAAGGAAAGCTATCAAACAGGAAGGACACCTACACCAAAACCCCATCAGTACATCACCATCATCAAAGACCAGAGGCAGATAAAACCACAAAGATGGGGAAAAAGCAGGGCAGAAAAGCTGGAAATTCAAAAAATAAGAGCTCATCTCCCCCGGCAAAGGAGCGCAGCTCATCGCCAGCAATGGATCAAAGCTGGACGGAGAATGACTTCGACGAGATGAGAGAAGAAGGCTTCAGTCCATCAAATTTCTCAGAGCTAAAGGAGGAATTACGTACCCAGCGCAAAGAAACTAAAAATCTTGAAAAAAAAGTGGAAGAATTGATGGCTAGAGTAATTAATGCAGAGAAGCTCACAAACGAAATGAAAGAGACGAAAACCATGGCACGAGAAATACGTGACAAATGCACAAGCTTCAGTAACCGACTCGATCAACTGGAAGAAAGAATGTCAGCGATTGAGGATCAAATGAATGAAATGAAGCGAGAAGAGAAACCAAAAGAAAAAAGAAGAAAAAGAAATGAACAAAGCCTGCAAGAAGTATGGGATTATGTAAAAAGACCAAATCTACATCTGATTGGGGTGCCTGAAAGTGAGGGGCAAAATGGAACCAAGTTGGAAAGCACTCTTCAGGATATCATCCAGGAGAACTTCCCCAACCTAGTATGGCAGGCCAACATTCAAATCCAGGAAATACAGAGAACGCCACAAAGATATTCCTCGAGAAGAGCAACTCCAAGACACATAATTGCCAGATTCACCAAAGTTGAAATGAAGGAAAAAATCTTAAGGGCAGCCAGAGAGAAAGGTCGGGTTACCCACAAAGGGAAGCCCATCAGACTAACAGCAGATCTCTCGGCAGAAACTCTTCAAGCCAGAAGAGAGTGGGGGCCAATATTCAACATTCTTAAAGAAAAGAATTTTAAACCCAGAATTTTATATCCAGCCAAACTAAGTTTCATAAGTGAAGGAGAAATAAAATCCTTTACAGATAAGCAAATGCTTAGAGATTTTGTCACCACTAGGCCTGCCTTACAAGAGACCCTGAAGGAAGCACTAAACATGGAAAGGAACAACCGGTACCAGCCATTGCAAAAACATGCCAAAATGTAAAGACCATCAAGGCTAGGAAGAAACTGCATCAACTAACGAGCAAAATAACCAGTTAATATCATCATGGCAGGATCAAGTTCACACATAACAATCTTAACCTTAAATGTAAATGGACTAAATGCTCCAATTAAAAGACACAGACTGGCAAACTGGATAAAGAGTCAAGACCCATCAGTCTGCTGTATTCAGGAGACCCATCTCACACGCAGAGACATACATAGGCTCCAAATAAAGGGATGGAGGAAGATTTACCAAGCAAATGGAGAACAAAAAAAAGCGGGGGTTGCAATACTAGTCTCGGATAAAACAGACTTTAAACCATCAAAGATCAAAAGAGACAAAGAAGGCCATTACATAATGGTAAAGGGATCAATTCAACAGGAAGAGCTAACTATCCTAAATATATATGCACCCAATACAGGAGCACCCAGATTCATAAAGCAAGTCCTTAGAGACTTACAAAGAGACTTAGACTCCCATACAATAATAATGGGAGACTTCAACACTCCACTGTCAACATTAGACAGATCAACGAGACAGAAAGTTAACAAGGATATCCAGGAATTGAACTCATCTCTGCAGCAAGCAGACCTAATAGACATCTATAGAACTCTCCACCCCAAATCAACAGAATATACATTCTTCTCAGCACCACATCGTACTTACTCCAAAATTGACCACGTAATTGGAAGTAAAGCACTCCTCAGCAAATGTACAAGAACAGAAATTATAACAAACTGTCTCTCAGACCATAGTGCAATCAAATTAGAACTCAGGACTAAGAAACTCAATCAAAACCGCTCAACTACATGGAAACTGAACAACCTGCTCCTGAATGACTACTGGGTACATAACGAAATGAAGGCAGAAATAAAGATGTTCTTTGAAACCAATGAGAACAAAGATACAACATACCAGAATCTCTGGGACACATTTAAAGCAGTGTGTAGAGGGAAATTTATAGCACTAAATGCCCACAAGAGAAAGCAGGAAAGATCTAAAATTGACACTCTAACATCGCAATTAAAAGAACTAGAGAAGCAAGAGCAAACACACTCGAAAGCTAGCAGAAGGCAAGAAATAACTAAGATCAGAGCAGAACTGAAGGAGATAGAGACACAAAAAACCCTCCAAAAAATCACTGAATCCAGGAGTTGGTTTTTTGAAAAGATCAACAAAATTGACAGACCACTAGCAAGACTAATAAAGAAGAAAAGAGAGAAGAATCAAATCGACGCAATTAAAAATGATAAAGGGGATATCACCACCGACCCCACAGAAATACAAACTACCATCAGAGAATACTATAAACACCTCTACGCAAATAAACTGGAAAATCTAGAAGAAATGGATAATTTCCTGGACACTTACACTCTTCCAAGACTAAACCAGGAAGAAGTTGAATCCCTGAATAGACCAATAGCAGGCTCTGAAATTGAGGCAATAATTAATAGCCTACCAACCAAAAAAAGTCCAGGACCAGATGGATTCACAGCTGAATTCTACCAGAGGTACAAGGAGGAGCTGGTACCATTCCTTCTGAAACTATTCCAATCAATAGAAAAAGAGGGAATCCTCCCTAACTCATTTTATGAGGCCAACATCATCCTGATACCAAAGCCTGGCAGAGACACAACAAAAAAAGAGAATTTTAGACCAATATCCCTGATGAACATCGATGCAAAAATCCTCAATAAAATACTGGCAAACCGGATTCAGCAACACATCAAAAAGCTTATCCACCATGATCAAGTGGGCTTCATCCCTGGGATGCAAGGCTGGTTCAACATTTGCAAATCAATAAACATAATCCAGCATATAAACAGAACCAAAGACAAGAACCACATCATTATCTCAATAGATGCAGAAAAGGCTTTTGACAAAATTCAACAGCCCTTCATGCTAAAAACTCTCAATAAATTCGGTATTGATGGAACGTACCTCAAAATAATAAGAGCTATTTATGACAAACCCACAGCCAATATCATAGTGAATGGGCAAAAACTGGAACAATTCCCTTTGAAAACTGGCACAAGACAGGGATGCCCTCTCTCACCACTCCTATTCAACATAGTGTTGGAAGTTCTGGCTAGGGCAATCAGGCAAGAGAAAGAAATCAAGGGGATTCAGTTAGGAAAAGAAGAAGTCAAATTGTCCCTGTTTGCAGACGAC